GGGTGAAAAGTAAGCACGGTGGTCATCTAATTCATGCAGTCTTTCCATACATAAAAGAGCATTAAAAATAAAACGAAGCGAGTTCTCTGCCATGGCAGTAGCATTTACAGACAATGTCAAAAATGTATTGAACGAAAATTTGAATGTATATATATATATATATATATATATGTATATATATAATTGTATTATATAAATATAGAAGACAAGTTTATCAAAAATTGATAAAAAACAGTAAAATGTTGGCGATCCGGAATTAAATTTGAAATTTATTTTAATCTAATAACAAGTAACAAATTTATATATGGTCATGACCGAATCTTTTATACCCATCGCGGTTGTTCTGAAAAAAAATGCAAGGAACCTCACAAGATAGGGTGGGGGCGGACTGTTCTTTTTTATTTTTAGAATAAAAGGAACTGGGAATGGGATGTATGTGTTGTACTTTATGAGTAACAAGCAAAGCAACATAGAAAGAAAAGATATTCAGAGTTTTTGTTACACAGGCATATGGGCGTTGCTTGTGACTTTTGACCGGTTTGGGTTATTTTTAAAAGTTTGCAAATATCTCCGGCGATATCTTCAGTTTTGCGTACGGGGGAATGTTCACCATAGATACCATGCGTTGGGCGGACGGACATACGGACAGATGAACAGACTGGCATGCTTAGGTGCATTTGGAAATTGAAAGTGGCCAAGATTTCATATACTTTATGGGGTTTTCAAAGTTTGCTTCTGGCCGTTCTGCATGTATTGGAAAAAAAATAAAATTTTGATATACAATAATATTTGTAAGCGCGGTAAACATTTCCTATATTTGCACATGCACTACATTTTCACCCATAGAAAACACGTCAGAATTTTTGTATACTGCAGTGCATGATTGTTGAGCACTATCAAAACCTGCGTGGAAGAACTTCCAATGTTTCTGCCAAATTTGAAGTCGATAGCCTTAGGTTTGCGGCCAGGAGACTGTTTGCAACAGACATTGCATAGACGAACAGTCAGTCAGACGGACAGATGGGCGTGCTTAAATGGATTTAGAATTTGAAGCTGATCAAGAATATATGTATATATATATATATATGGGGGTCTCTGGTGCTTCCGTGTGAGCATTGCAAACGTTTTGAGAAAATGAATCTATCCCTCATCCTTCGACGGTGAATATAATAAATTCTTACGAACACGGTAAGGTATTTGAAATTTTTATACCTATCTCCGGAAGATGTCACTTTCTTTACAATGCCCAGAAGGAGGCTTCAGACGTCCTACAAACTATATATATATTTGATCAGCAACAAATTCTAAATCGAGCATTTAAGCATTTCCGCCTGTCAAGTTGTCCATCTGTTGCAAGCATTTTTCTGGCCACATAAACGAACCCGTCGACTTCAAATTTGGCAGGAGCATTGGAGGTTTTTGGACGCAGGTTGGTATTGAAAATAAGCCAAATCGGTCGAACGACAAGTTTACAGCACTACATAAAATGAGAGCACCTCTGTTTTTCAAAAGTAATAAAAAATGTTTTTTTGCTCATTACATATAGACTACAGTGTACAAAACCTCGAAAGCATTTTCTACGGTCTATGCTGTAGTACATGTACAAATATTATAGAAAATCAACATTTTTTTTTTTTTTTCAATACATTTAGAACGACCAAAAGCAACGTTCAAAAACCCCATAAAGTGTATGAAATCTTGCACCTAGGCATGCCTGTCTGTTCATCCGTCCGTTTGTCCGCCCGCCCAAAGGCTTAGAATGTGCGGTGAACAACCTTTCTTTGCAAAAATGAAGATATCGCCTATAAATTTTCAAAAGAGTTTGAAGCAGTCTAGACTTTTCCAAGGCCTCGCCTACAACGCCCACACCCCTATTCGATAAAAACTTTTATTTTGAAAATCGGAAAACTCAGCTGCGCCTAATCAATATTAGAAAGTGTGAAAATTTAGTTTTTTTTAATTTTTTGTCTCTTTTAGGATAATGGCAATGGGTATAAAAAATTCGGTCACGACCGAATATGATTTTCTTATTTGTTTTAAATAATGCAATTTTTCCCCATATTCTAGAAACTTCAAAGCGTTTCTATTAAATCAATAAAAAAAAGTGACTATCTGTAAAGACTCCATTGGTGTTCCCTCTTAAAAGAGCCAATAAACTTGCATATATAGTAAGCAAATTTTAGTTCTCTGTAGAGACACATTTTCTTTTTTTTCTTTTTTATATTTACATTTCTAATATATTTATAAAGAAAATATTCTAATATATTTATGTATGAAAATCTAAAGAGCGCTTTAGACTTTTAGAAGCGTTTAAATAATATCTTATGTTCGTTTCATTTCATTATATTTGTTAGTACATAGCAAAAACATTTAAAATAAAGTTAATAAAAATAGAAAAATTATATGAAACTTCCAGTTGCATCGTATCTAGATATCTTCTCTTTTTTTCGCACACTAAGTCATTCACACTATTTCTATTTCGATGCGTAAAGTTTCTGTTCTCAACTTAATATATTTTATTATCTTTAACATTATATCGTGGTGTTGGTTCGTTTATGTTGTCGTGGTCTTGGCATTAATTCCCTTTTACATTTTTCACATTTTCTAAATATAGTCATATTTTCTTGTGTTCTATATATAAACTAGAGACAAATGATGATTATGTTAATACTAGTATAGTATGGGATATTTTTCGTCATTTCTATGCTTTTATATATATATTTTATACTTAGATATGCATGAAGTACCAGAAAATGTAAATAAGACCTAAGAAAATTGTAATCCGCTTGAGTGCAATATATGCTATCTAGAATCGAAAATTACTATGTAGAAATTTCAATGCTTTAGGGGTAATTGGGTATTGCGATAGTTGGTCGATTCGAATGTGTACCGAACTTTTACATAGTCCTAGAACCGATTGCTTTTTATGTACAAACAATGTGAGAATCAAGGAGTAAGAAGAGAAAGTGGAATAGGCTGGGAGCTGCAGGTGAAGTGGTGATATGTAACATATAACGCTTTTATCGATCGAGCATTCATTATTACACATGTTATTGCTCCGGCTAATTGCAATTAGAGCATGGTTTAATGCACAGTAAATCGAACTGTGCGGAACATTGCGATGGCAATGAGATGCGATACACAAATATGGTAATTTAAAGAGGGGCTAGCGCTTGCACAAAAATATCGACAGAGGGACAGAGAAACAGATGGATAAACAGAAGCGAGTAAATCAATTCAGAATTGTGGTCTAAGCAAAAAGTCATACTTTTTATTTTTGGGTCTACTTGCAGCAAATTGGGCACGAAATATCTCCACAATCCGATACACACACACAGAAGTACCATTTCACTAACTATAGTTCATATCGATCTAAGCTATTGATAAGCTTGCCTTCACCTCTAAGAATCAGTAAGCAAAGAAACTGAAGGGTCCGCAGATCCATTGTAAGATAGCTCCATCTTCCTTATTATGCTAATAAAACGCAAAAACGCTTAGATCACATTTTTTCGCATCCAACCGGGATTTCTTGAAAAAAGTGGCTTTCACTTTAGTTAACCGCTCTTCACTAGAAATATTTGATCGCACGGCAAATGGAGCGGAAGGTTTATATTGCAAAACCGTAACAAAACTGAGTGAGGAATGCGCTATTCACAAGTATACCGCTCGAGCCACCCCAGTTATTACAAATTTTCCCGGCAAATATTTCTTAGAAAAGCATGTAAAGAACATAAAGTTCTAAACGATCGATAAGACAATTTAGATTTGCTCAGGAAGACTATATACTATTTTTCCGGTAGCAACGGACCGATTTTCTGAGCGATATAGATGGTTTACAGATTCTATCTGATGAAAGTCTTAAGAAAATATTTGCGGTCAAAATTCCTTTTCTTCAAACGCTCTTGTATTCGCATTAATATTTTGGACGGAGAGACAAATGGTGAGATGATTATGGCTTTGTGTCGGGAGAAATTCTCAATCCAAGTTGAAGGTCACTTCATGGGTTGTGTTTGCGGTCGTAAAAAATTGAAAATGTTTCCACGAAACTTAGCCACTTTTTAGCTGTTTAACAGCTTACTATATTTTTTATGAACAACAATACACTCACTATTCCTTAGTTAACCATGAACTTTGTCTGACACACTAATCGAAAATTTCCAAGGATTTGATTAAGTAAATTTGCGGAAGTTACTAATAAATGCAAATGCTAGTGACCAGCTCGATGATATCATAAAGCAATTGATGAGTTCTCAAATTAGATAAAAATTTGCCACTAAAAGTTCTATTAGCGCTAATATTAAATTTAAGTCCAAAGTGACGCGATTGATAATTCATTCTGTTATCCAAGTAATTACGTTAAGGTGCAAATACATGAGAGAATTTCTTTAGCCACTAAAAGGAATTTCTATGAGACTTAGTATCACATCTACTAGTCAACAACTTTTTGTTCTCTCGATGTCTCCTGTACGTGTGGTACTAAAGAAATGAGGAAAGACAGAAAGAGATAAGAGATGGACGCAGCCTAGTGTGTGCGTGTGTGTGTATCTGTGCATGTGTGCGCCCAATCTAACTGACCGTTGACTGCAGCTACGATCAACGTAAAATCGAACGCACTTGCTATTTGAACCAGCGAACGCGGACTTCTTATCTACTAAGCTTAACTTAACTACATCGCGACGCAACTGAGGATTGCTCCGACTACCTAAAAAGTTCCTTTAAGATGCAAATATTTAAAAGGGTTTCCTCAGTAAAGATCAGCCATAAAAATCCGCTTCGGCGGCAATCAGTCTTCAGCTTAAGATTATCAAATCAATCGGTGAATGTCACTTTGGCGGCAATTATTAATAACCTAAAGTTAAGGAGCGTTAAATAAAGGAGCTCATGCTATAGATATTAATAGATTTTATAAATGATTGCCTTAAATTTGTCATTAAAGATAAAATACAATCAAAGTCCTTTTCTTTCACTTTTCTATTTACTTAATATTAGAAATTCTTTACCTCTTGTGTTAATGAACCGGAAAATCTTTAAGCTTAGCTGCGGCAATATGTTTTCTTGTTAATATATTCCAAAGAGAAAGGACATATTTTTTTTTGTTTTCCAAAGTTTTTGTTGTTTTAGGGGATAAAAGAAAGAATTGAAAATTTGGCTCATAGGCTTGATATGTTGTTCTTATACATATATATATATATATATATATATATCTACATATATATAAATGTATGAATGATAATTTATAGCTAATTTGCTGCAGTTATCTTTGGCACAAGATATTTGTTACTTGTTTTTTTCTTTTTTTTTTTTTATTCTTGTTATACTTTTATCACTTGGTTGTTGTTGTTGTAGCTGTAAATGTGTTTCTCTAATTTTTGGCTGAATTTTTGTTTCGCTTTTTTTTTTTGAAATTTTTTTATTTAGTAGAAATGCTTTCACTATAATATCTCTTTATCATTTGTTGTTGTTGTTGTTGTTGCTGCTGCTGTTGATATTGTGATAACACAGGCACGTTTTTTATGTACGTTCTCATGGGGAATGGTATCATGTGCTTTTATTTAGATATTTTTTTTTTATATATATTTATACGTATATTTTTTTTTCTTCTTTTTTTCATTATCGTACTCCTCCACACATAAAACGATGGTATCCACAATCATTATTATTTTTTATATGTTTATGAAATTCGCAAATCTAAAAATAACGCGTACACAATATAACAGCGGGTTGTTGATGAATACTGCCGAGTGGTGCTAATATGCGTGCGTTGCGCTCGATAGCAGTAGTAGTAGTAGTTGTAGTAGTAGTTCACTGAATTAAAACGTTGACAATAATATGAAAATAATTTTCAAAGAAAGAAAAACTAAAAAAAAAAAATATATATATATATATATAACACGGCGTCGGCTTGCGTACACGTTTGCCTGTTTTATTATAAGAGATTGCCGATGATTATTTTATTTATTTATTATGCCGCTTATGTCCGTAAGGTAGATTTGTTAAATATGCACTGAAATCAAAAATATATTGCATCAGTATTGTAGGCACTGTGATCGGGCCACAACACATATGAATATGTTTCGAACATTAGTTAACGAACCGATCAGATCGTATATAAAACAAACCGCGAACTAAACTAAACACATTAAGTAAATCTTTTCCCAATACATTTGGTTGGTTGCATTTTGAGAAAATGTTGCGTTTGCTGTTGGTTTTTGCTGATTTGTTGCTGCGCGGGTAACGGCAACGATCCGGCCGATGTTACCAGATTGTTAATAATACAACGACATTGAGTGTTTGTTGATTTAGGCGTTTTGATCTTGACTTGAGTTGTGTATGAAGATGTACATGTATATGTGTATATGTATGTTCGCGCGTATGTGTGTTTATTTAAACTTTTATAACACCACACACAGAATTCCAACCCACTCAACGGTGTCCGGTCTAAAGCCATTGAAAATAACTCAAGCTGATTATTGTGTGTGGTTTTGATCAATGAATGAACCGAATACAACACAAACGTAAACACTTAATAAATAGTGTAAGCGTGCCTCTAAAAACCAACACTATCAGCGGGCAAAAATGACTTTTTTTTCATTCTTTTTTTCTTTATATCTTTTTATTGTATTAAGCTAAACAAATAACGTCATCTCGTGTAAGTTTTTAATGGGCTCTATTGTTGTTAATATGTGTACGATTGTTGTGGTTGTTGTTGTTGTTGTTGTTCTTGCTATTGCTATTGCTATTACATGTTGGTGCTGCTTCTGTTGTTATTGCTGTTGTTCTTGTTGTTGTAGTGTTAGTGTTGTTGTTGGTATTGTACATGTATTTTCATTAGACCAAGAAACCGAGAAACCCACTAACTGCTCGCGACCAACACGAGTTTTATGCATAACACAAAAACAATAACAATAACAACAACCGCCACCAACAAACTGTCGCTTTGTTTTGCTTCGCATTTAAGATCGTCATTGGTTTTGTTTACTTTTCAAAGCTCCACAAGTGTACTTGAGTTTTGTTTAATAAAAGTTGTTGTGTTTTTTCGTAGCTGGTGTGGATTTAAAATACATTAATATTATGATACGCTTATTATATATATATATATATATATATCTCATATACACACGTGTGGGTGTCTATTTAGCGGTTAGAGATCACCAGCACAAAACTGAGTGATTTTGTTTTGTTTTCTGAACGCAATGCAAAGCAGTAGAGAAAGATAGAGCGAGAGATGTACGGAGACAGA